TTTTTTTTTTCCCCCCTTGGTTTTGGATGTTGGTTTGGTTTGTTGGTTTTTTTTCTTTTTTTTCTTTTAAATTGCTTTTAAAAGAGATGTGGGGATGGGTAAAGTGGTGGGGTTGAGTAAAAAAAAAAAAAAAAAAAAAATGCAACGCAAGCCTTTGCTGGAACGATCAACGGGGTTGGGTTTTGGGGTTGGGTTTTTTTTTTTTTCCCCCCTTGGTTTTGGATGTTGGTTGTTTCTTTTTGTCTCCCCCCCCCCCTCTTCTCCCCCCCACACCTCCAGCACAGGCTGTGGGTTTGGTGCTTGTCAGTCCCGCTGCTCTCCCTCACCTCTTGAGTGCCAGGTGATGCTTTTTATTGATGTTATTTATTTATTTTTGTGTGTGTTGTGTTATTTACAGCATGGAGGCAGCAGGGGGAAGGGCAGAAGAATCCACACAGGCATCTCCTGCAGCCCTGGCTGGGAAAACTGGAGGGCAAGCGGGCAGGAGGAGAGGTGAGGGGATGGTGGAGGGGTCGTGCCTTTCCTGCACACTCGTGTCAGCATTGGGGTGACCTCAGAGCAGGATTTAAGCCCCCCCTTTTACTCTTCAGCAGCTTCAGTGGTGCTGTAATCCCCCCCAGAGTTCCTCCTCAGGCATCTCCTGCAGCCCTGGCTGGGAAAACTGGAGGGCAAGCGGGCAGGAGGAGAGGTGAGGGGATGGTGGAGGGGTCGTGCCTTTCCTGCACACTCGTGTCAGCATTGGGGTGACCCCAGAGCAGGATTTAAGCCCCCCCTTTTGCTCTTCAGCAGCTTCAGTGGTGCTGTAATCCCCCCCTGAGTTCCTTCTGCCCACATCCTGGGGGTTGCAGTTGCTGCACTCCCTGCAGCTCCGGGACAGGAGTCACTTTTGGTAAGTTTTCATCATTTTGGAGCCCAACGTTGTCGTAGCAACTGGGGCTGGAGGAGCCCTGGAGATCCATCGTGACCTTCTCCATCCCCTGGGCACCAATGCTCTTCAATTCCTTCCAGCAAAGCTTTCCTCTGCTGCCCTTGAAGGCACCCAGCAGCCTTCCCCCTTCCCCAGGCAGCCTTCCCCATCCCTGTCTCCTCCCTTGGCCCCCCATCTCCCACCCCATCCCTCCTGGATGGTGCTGTTGCTCCAGGGCCCCTCTCCCTACATCCCCTCCGTCCCCGAGCAAACATCCACATGGGCTCCCATCTTTGTGCCTTTATGGAAGAAATACATAATTCTTTTATTATTCAATTAGGAATTTAACACACAATCAGGTGATCGCTTTAAGAGGATTTCCTATAAGGCAGGATTTGAATAACCGGGGCTACGAATAATATATTCCCTTAACTGGTTTATTCCTTTATCAGATTTTTTTTTTTTCCTCCCCCCCTAAGCACTTTAATGCATTTACTTCCCCATTGTCGACACTTTTTCTCCGTGCTCTTCCTCCCTCCCCGAGCTTATGCAAATCCCCTGTAAGGCGTTTAAGGCTCCGTGTGTGTCAATAGTCCCCAAATCTTCCCGACGGCATTAGGCTTCATGGATGCCCCGCCTGATTAAGAGGGGTGGTGGGGCCAGCCCAGCCCCCTCTCCTGCCCCTAAGCCCCCTTTCAGCCCTCGCCGTGGGGCCGGGGAAGGGGCCCCCAGGCTGGGAGCTGCATTTTTCTAGAGAAAAGGCTGGAGCTGAAAGTAGTTCTTTTCTTCCGCGGGGCGCAAGGTGAATTGGGAGCGTGGGGTTGACCTGTTGGCTGCTGTTTGCTGCCCTGTCCCTCAGCTTTGGGGGTGCTGGGGAGGGGGGGGTGGAGGTGTTAAACTGGTGGTGGTGGGGGGAAACATCTGTAGGTGGGATCATCAAAGGAGGGTGGCAAAATAGCCCACGAGCCCATCTCAACATCAATTTTCTTGCGCATCCCCTGCCCGTGTGGCACCAGCTGCATCACCCCTGGTTGCCCACCCTGTAGGAACCCCTTTGGGTATCACCAGCAGGAAAAGTGGATTTTTTTTCCCCTTAATTAGGGTGCTGAGGGCTTGGGTGGCTCAGTGGTGGCTCTGCCCATTGCCACGGTGCTGGGTGATGTTCCCCACTTCCCTGGTGCTGCTGGTTTGCTTTCCGAGGCGGCAGCTCCTCACCAGCAGGGCTGGCTTGCTGCTCTCTGGGGCTTGGTTTGTATGTGGGGGGGTTAATTAACAGCCTTCATGGCTGTGGGGATCTAATGTGGCAGGGGGAGAAGCCTGGAGCATTGGCTCTGGGGGATGCAATCGCCCTGCTCAGTGGAGCGTTCACTCTGAAACCTACAGACAACAGCTTGGACACAGGGAAGAGGGAGGAGGCAGAGGGGCTGTGTTGCCTATGGCTGTGGGGATCTAATGTGGCAGGGGGAGAAGCCTGGAGCATTGGCTCTGGGGGATGCAATCGCCCTGCTCAGTGGAGCGTTCACTCTGAAACCTACAGACAACAGCTTGGACACAGGGAAGAGGGAGGAGGCAGAGGGGCTGTGTTGCCTATAAGTAGTGGTTTCCCCATCACCAGAGGGGCTTTGTGATCCTGGCACGGGGGTAAAAAAAAAAAAAAAAAAGCCATCCAAGGATGGCTTTCACCATTTTCTCTTTCCAGAGAAAAATCTCCTCTCTCAACTTGAGTCTTTAAATAGCCCGGTGAGTGGGAGCGAGATGAACCGGCCCTTCCCGGCCCTTGTTTCCTCTGCACCCACCACTGATTGTCTCCTTTTTTTATCCCGTCCTGCCGCTCTGCCTGTGCGTGCAGCAATTATGCAAAGTTGCAATCAAGGAGCTGAATTAGCAGCTCATCTTGGATTAATTAGTGATGGATGCAAATCTCTTCCAACAAAGAAGCGGGGGGCCCGAGGCAGGCGGAGTTGGGGGGGAGGAAATGTGGAGGCTGTGGGTATCCTCCCTGGGTTTCTCCAGCTCTTCCAGGCTGGTTTGGTTTGATTTGGGGGTGGGAGATGCAGAGTCTCCCCTCGGAGGAGAATCGGGGCATCCACGTGGAAGGAGTTGGTCCTTGGCTTTTGGGATGAGAGCTGGCTGCCCTGAAGCTGATGTTCTCTTCTCTGACTCTGCCCTTGTGTCTCCCCAGAGCCCTTAAACCCATCACTTTGGGCTCAGAACGACTCCTCCTCCCACCCCAAGCTTTTCAAAGCTTGGGGAAAACCCAGTTAATCCCTGTGGCCCCCAGTGCTGAGCTCCCCCCAGCACCAGGGATTTCTGCTCGCCCCCAATCGGATTGCCACAAACCCCCTCCACCTGCATCGAACAAATTCCCTGGCTGCTCCCTGCTTCTCCCAGACCCTGATAATCCCCCAAGTGTGACTCCAGCCAAGTCACAACATCCCTGTTTAATCCCCCCCGTCTCCGTGCAAAGCCGGAGCTGCCGAGGACGCTCCCGGCCCCGGTGGGGTGTTGGGAGCAGACCCCTGGGAAGGATGTGAAGGCTGCAAAGTTATTTAAAGGAGCTTTTCCAAGAGGGAATTGCAGCCTTCCCTCCTCATGAAGCAGAAGAGATGGATGCGTGGTGCTCCTGGGAGCACTGGGCAGGGGGGTGTCGGGGTGGAATTTGAAGAGGTGGGGGTTTTTTTGTCCCTTTGCTTGCTCAGGGTCACAGGTAGGGTGTCACCCACCCCGGCTGGTGCAGAGGGGACAGCAACGGGCACAGAAAGCCCAGGGCACCCTGGCTGGGGTGAGGGAGATGTGCTTTGCCACTGGGTTTCTGTGGAGCGGGTGCTGGAGGGGCCAGCTTGTGGCTGTGCCCACAGGGATGGGGACAGCAGGGACGGCCACTTCCCGAGTCCCCAAGGGTGAAATGCCATGGATTTTGGAGGATGCAGGTGCCTCAAAGGTCTCTCCTTTCTCTCACCTCTGCAGCAGCAACGATTAATAAAAAACTGACTCCGCTGGAAAGGCAAGGAAAAAAAAAATCTCAAGAGGGGGGATTTTTTGGAGACCGTCCTAATCCAACGTCTCCGAGCCCAATGAATCAGCAGCGCCTTGTTCCGCCCGGCGGGATTAATCAGTGCTCCTCCAGGCTCCAGGAGAGCGAGGTGAGGCTCTGAATAGCAAGGAGCCGTGGCGAGGCGGCCGAGGGGTGTTAGTTGGTTCATGGAGCAGAGCAAATCCCTCCTGGTAATCCTACAAACGCTGCTGGGATGCTGTTGGGATGCAGCCACTCATGCCAGGAGCCGTGGGACAGCAGGGAGAGGCAGGAGAAGGGGAGAAGGCAAAAATACCTCTAAAAAGCTGTGGTGTGGACGAGGGATGCTCTGTGGTCTGTGGCGTTGGATGTGGGGGTGGCAGGGGGAGAGCTCAGGATGGAGCTGCGTGTGGGGATGTCCCTCCTGCCATGGGGACCAGGGGTCTGGGCCAGCTTTGCCCCCTGGCGCTGGGAGCATCGTGCCTGGCAGGTTTTTCTGGCTGTTAAAGTGGGTCAAGCAGAAACCCAAGGAGCATCCGAGCTCCCCAACCTCGAGCCAGCTCCATCAAAGCTGAATTATTCAGGCTCGGCTTAAAAAATTGAAGAGCCCAGCAAAACTCGGGGAGAGCCCAGCTCAGGGGACCACCCCCTGTGCCCCCATCGGGCAGAAGCAGCTCAGCCTGCCCATGCTCAGGGGGGGACCTTTGTCACTTTGGGAGGGTGGACGGTGTCGTTTGGGTCTGACGCTGCCCTTGGGGGTGGGGAAGGCAGAGACAAAGCACTTGGAGAAGTTCACCCTGATGGATTCATCTCCCTGTGGTCCCCCATAGCCCTCCAAGCCATAGCTTGGAGATACCCCAGGTGCACCCATAGCAGAAATAGCAGAAAGAGAACCCCCTTGTCCCCCCAGAACGAGGATCAAGAGGTGTGTGATTTTTAAACAGGATGGTAAAAGTCAAGGGCTTGTTATTTGGCACGAGGTGTTTGGTGGCAGCGTCACCCCAGGGCTCGGGGAGCACCGAGTGCATTTGGGAGCTGAGCTGAGCCGAGCCCCCTCCTCCAGCTCTGGCTCCGTACCTGGGGTTTTGGGATGGGGAGAGCCGGCTCCCGGGGAGAATCCCTGCGGAGAGCAGTGAGTGTCCCCGCAGAAAGCGGTGAGTAACGCTGCCTGGCGAGCCAGGAAAAGGCAAGCACACATATGCTCCAGCTCATCCTGCTCTTTTTTTGCAGAGCATCCACACCATCTGGGTGCCATCCCCAGGCACGGCCGGGGAACCCCCACCACAGTCACCCCCTTCTCTTAAATTTCCACGGTGCCTGGAAGGGGGTGATGGGGGTCTGGTGTAGGGCAAGGGGACGTACCCCAAGAGGAGTGAGGTGCTTTGAGATTTTTTTACAATGGCACTCTCAAATTAGAGCTGAACGAGCTCATCCGAAACAAGCAGCCCGAAATATCCCCCCTTGCACTAGTGTGCTGAGCTTTGCAGGTGCTCAGCCAAGGAAAGGAGCAAGGAAAGCTGAGCCCCCGGCTTCAGGCAGAGCCCGGCACAGCAGTGGGCTTTGCTCTGAGCCAAATTCCAGCTATTTCAGCCAAGGAGAAAGGATGGAAATTTCCACCTGGCCTGTTTTTCCTCCCCGTGATGGATTTGCGGGGGGCCCTTTCCCGCCCATCAGAGGGGCAGCTGAGGAGTCTCAGCCCTTTTTGTCTCTGATCTTCTCTGGTGTGAGCAGCAGCAGCAGCAGCAGCAGCACATCCCGCCAGCCCCGCGCGCTGATTTATACAACGCTGCATTTATTGACTGCCAGGAGATTGTAATTCACAGCCTGGCGCGTTGCAGCCACGCTCTGGGAGCAGAGATGGTACCTCTCCCCTTCCCAGCACCACCACCATCCTCCCACACTCCTGCTGGGGAGAGCCCAGTAAGGGCTGGTCCCCCCAGGGCTCTCACCCCGCTCGGTGGCAGGGGACACCTGCTCTGTCCCCTCCCCATGCCTTTTTTTTTTCCCCATACAAGAAAACCCAAGAGCATCACATCCCTGTGGTGTCACCTGCAGCCTCGGCCAGCTCACGAGAGGTGGGAACATCCATGGTGTCCCTGCCTGGAGCACCTTCCTTGGGGACAGGTGTCCTCTCCCAGGACTGATGTCTCCACCACCCCACCCTTTGGCTTCCTTCTCTGCTTCCACCCCCTGGTTATGCTTGGGAGCAGAGACCCTACGTGTGCTTCCCCAAAAAGCTGGGGGTTACTGGATTCTGCTAGCCAGAGCTGCTATCTATCTATCCATCCATCCTTCTGTCCGTCCGTCCATCCATCCATCCTTCTGACCATCCATCCAACCATCCATCCATTCTTCTGTCCATCCATCCTTCTGACCAACCATCCATCCATCCATCTCTCCATGGGACAGCTCGTTGGGACCCCGCTGACCTCTCTTACCCCAAAACCATTTGCAAGGTGGGAAGGACCCCATCCCTGCAAAGCTCATTTTTACCAGGGCTTTCTTCCTAATTAATCTCTCTTTGTAATTAGCTCCAGGCCTCCCAAACCCCTCAAAGCACCTATAGGCGGTACCTATAGGCGGGGGTATGAATGTGCTCCGTTGGTTGGAAAAACCTTCCCTACGTCCCCCCCCCTCCCCGGAGCTGGCGGGGGGGTGGGTGCTCGGTGCTCCCCGTCTCCCGTTGCACACCCCCGGTTGGGGCGGGGGGGGGAGCGGAGGAGGAGTGAAGGGGAGGCGGGAGGATGC